TCCTCCGCCGCTGGCTGTGGCCGGAGCGGCAATCCTCGCTCCGCGCCCGCGCCGCCAGCATGACCGACGCGCTGCTGCCCGCTGCTCCGCAGCAGCTAGAGAAGAAGGGCGATGGCTACTTTCGAAAGGTGAGTGACTTCGCGGGGGCCTGCGGCCTCCAGACCTCCTTCTCCCAAGCTGCGGGGGTGCACGGCGCCCGGGGCGTCCAGGCCCGGACGGGCGAGCGGTTACGCACTGGCCTGGTGCGGACGTGGCGGAGGGTCAGGGGCGCTGGGCACGGCGAGCAGCGCCGGGCTGGGCGGCCCTGAGTAGGTGCAGGCGCCGAATCGCGGCCAGGATAGGCTGGGGACACTCGGGGCCGCTCCGCTCAGGTGCAGTCGGGGACAGGCGGGCGCACCTGCGGACCGGATCTCACGACAAGCTCCACCAGAGCGCTTGGGAGGCCGGGCGCAAGTGACGAGGGAGGACTACCTTGAGCCGATCAGCGTTCTCATTTTCCCTCCAAAATGCTTCCAGTGTCCGTCCATCCCGCCCCGCCCCGCCTCCCGGCCCTGCCCTTAGACATCCTGGAGGGTAGGAGGCAGGAGCACCTGGGACCTGAGCGCCCCGGCCTCTCCTTTATGCTAAAGCGGATTTAACTGGTTGTCCGAGAGACGGGAGGTGGTGAGTGCCGGCTCCGCGGGTGCTTGGCACGCCCAGGTGCCCCTCTGTACACATTTCAGCCTCCCGCTTTGGAGAGGACACTAGGGCAACCTAGTCCCTTAAAAGTCACCCTGGCCCGCGGGGCAGGGGCAGTCTCGCCTGGCTACAAAGCTTTTGTAGAGCGCCCCCCCATCATCGACATAAAGTGGGGCTGAGGGTGATCCTAAGCCACTGACTTGAGTTCCTAGACAAGTACTTCCTTTAGTTCCCCCACCCCACCCCACCCCACCTTCCCCACCCATGCCTCCGTCTTGAGCGAGGAGTCCGGGTGACACCTTTCACACCTTTCTCCATTCAGGTCCTTGGAGAGACTGAAAGTAGCCTTTGGAGTTTGGCCAAGAATAGCTGGGTGGGTTGAGAGATTGTTTTTTATAACCGATATGTTTTTTATAACTGATATGACCCAAGGCAGAGTGTAATTACGAATAGGGAAGTGAAACTGTTTCCCACAGAACAATCAATTCTTAATTGTTCAGAGCCGAACACTGACCCAGTTGGTAAATGGCCTTGGCACCTTCTTCCCTGTGACTTGCCTTTGGGCTGTTGCCCACGGCTCAGGCGCCCTGGCACAGCAGAGAGGGGGCAAGGTCTGTGGACCAGAGGGGGAATCTGGAAACAGGTGGGAAACATTCTTTTTGTCAGATTGTGTTTAGTATTAATAAAAAGGGGGGTGATTTTAAGGTATATTTACGTTCATAGATGTCATCATGGAATTACAGGAATATAACTTCTAATTATGTGTGGGCCTTGGGACAGAGGATCACAGGCCATGGAATTGTAGATGGAGGCCTGCCCAGGGAATGACATGGTTCTAGGTCCCCAGGGCTCAGATGGCCACTCCCACAAAATTGCTGTGTGGCCTCAAGCAAGTTGCTGCATCTTTCTGGGGCTGCTTTTCCTCCTGCATTGTGTGCTGCCTTCAGTGGGACAGGTGGAGCTCCGGACCATAGCTGTACCTGGAGGGAAATGGGCCAAGCAAGGCAGGAACTGAAGGGGTGGGGGTCCCTGTGAAGAGGATGGTTTTTCTGCGGGAGCCTTCCAGGGAGCCCAAGGGGGCAGGGGGAACATGAGCTGTGGCAGAATTGTAGGTTGTTGGGCCGATTGACACTTCACTTCATGAGAGAACCACAGGTGTAAAATAAAATGAGTCGTCGAGTTACCAATAGAAGCTTTCATTTTTTTAAATGAGACCTTGTAAGGGCCCTGGTGGTGTAGCGGTTAACCATTGGGCTGCTAACTTCAAGGTCAGGAGTTTGAAACTACCAGCAGCTCCTTCAGAGAAAGATGAGGCTTTCTCATCTGTAAAAAGTTAGACACAGCCTCTGCCACCCCTCCTTTTGCTGCTATTCTTAGGTGCCATCCAGTCTGTTCCCGTTCATAGCATCCCTTTGTACGAGAGAAACACAACCTGGCCTTGCAGATTGTGATGTTTGAGCCTAGGGCTGCAGCCACTGTGTCAATCCGTCTTCTGGAAGGTCCTACTGCTTTTTTACTGAGCCTTTCAGAAACCCACAGGGCAGCTTCTACTGTGTCCTACAGGGTCACTCTGAGTCGGAATGGACTCGATGGCATTGAGTTTGGGTTTTTTGGTTTTCTACTTTACCCAGTCTGATGTCTGTGTACAAGGGTGAGCCCCTCCTGACAACATGTCCAAAGTATGTGAGATTGTCCTCAAGTCTTGCCATCCGTGCGTCTAAAGGCCATCTGCTGTACTTCTTCCAATATGGACGTGTTGGTTCTGACAGTCTGTGGTACTTCTGAGGAGGTGGGAAACAAAAAGGGCCTGGGCAAAGACAAGGAACCCTGGTGGCACATTAGTTAAGGGTTGGCTGCCAACCGAAAAGGTCTTGGGTTCAAGCCCTCCAGCCTCTCAGGAGAAAGAGGAAGTGGTCTGCTTCTGGAAAGATTTACAGGCTCAACAGTTCTGTGACTCCAGTGGACTAAAGGGCAGAGGGTGTTGCCCAAGGCAGTGTCAACAAAGACAGGAAGAGCTCATGGGATAGGCTATGGCCGGGAAGGCATTTTTACCTGCAGCAGCTGGGCGGATGGTCATGTGACTCACTGAGGTAGAGAGAGCCAGTCAGGGGATGGATGATTGGAGGTCCAGTGAGTTTGACAGGTGAGTGGCCCCTTGGGAAGGGGTTCCACAGACCTGGCATCCTGAGAGCACCTGGAGGTGTCGCAGCATTGAGAACCAGTGGGGGAGCATTTGGGACACCAAGTGGAAAGAGAACCAGGGAGAGGGTCCTAGAAGTGACTGCTTCCTCTTCAGGGACCGGCAGAGAGGTGGGAGGCAAGCCAGGGGGTTGACAGTGTCTAGGACAATGAGAGGAGAGTCTTTTGGGTGGTGAGGTATGGTGGACGAGTCAGAGGAGCATGGGGCTGGGCTGCTTTCAGTCCTTTAGGGGCTGCTAGTGGAGAGCTAAGGAACCCTGGTGGCTTAAGGGTTATGGAGTTGGGCTGCTAACCTCAAGGTCAGCAGTTCGAAACCACCAGCCACTTCTTGAGCGAAAGACAAGGATTTCTACTCTGGTAAAGGGTTACAGCCTCGGAAACCCACAGGGGCAGTTCTACCCTGTCATAGAGGGCCGCTATGAGTTGGCATCAACTCGATGGGAGTGGGGATATTGGGGTTCTCTTTCTTTCCATTGTCTCGGTCATGCCTTTCTTTCCCTCCCTCCCTCATTTCTTGAAATGCCATCAACTCCATTCATTACCAAGAGCATTTCCTGAGTGGCAGCCCATGCCTGACCCCCATCAGGTTCTGGGCCACTCTCAGGCTCGACTCAATGAGGCCTCTGTGGCTGTTGGCCTCATTTCCTGAGGACCTGAGCTAGGCGGGGAATATGGGTTTTGTGGAAGTACTGAGATCATGTTTGAAAAGCTTCTTTGGTGTAGTCCAGGGAGTAAAATGTGGGGCCTACAGGTTCTCAGCAGAACTGTATTCATTACCTAAAGTCTCTTCCTCCACCCAGCCTGGACCCTATATGTGTAAGGTAGTTAGTGATAGAGTAGGCCCCCTGGTAAATCAGTCTTTTGGGGGTTGTATGAGGAGCCCTGGTGGCATAGTGGTTACATGTTGGGCTGCTAACAGCAAGGTCAGCAGTTCAAAACCACCAACTGTTCCACAGGAAAAGGACAGGGCTTTTTTACTCCCATAGAGTTACAGTCTCAGATGCCCACAGGCGCAGTTCTACTCTGTCCTATAGGATTGCTGTGAGTCGGCATCTACTCCTTGTCAGTGAGTTTGATTCTTCCTTTTTCGGTCTGAGGTTGTGTGTGCTTTGACAGGACAAAGCCCGAGGGCACAGCTCAACCCAGGCGGGGTGTGGAAACCCCCCAGAGGACTCCTCCTCTGTCCTCCGGGCCTGGGCTCAGTGTGGGCTCTTCCAGAATCCAACCAACTCCTCCTGGATTTGGGCAATAGCCCGCCTTTCCCTTTTGCCTTTTCCTCTGGCTTCTCTCCGGCTTTTACTTTTGTGCTTGGAAGATGAACAGACTGACACAGAGGGACTGCCGTGTCAGATTAATCTTCAAAGGATGGTTCGTGGACTGCAGCTACTTTTTGCCAAACAGGGTTTGAATGCCCATCCTAGTGAAGCCCTGGACAAGCTTGGGGGCTGGTAGATGTTTGAGCTCTGGAATTAGGCAGCTTTCCAGCATTAGCCGGTCCCTTCAGTCCCTTATCTGCTGTTCTCTGGTTTGAAAACCCACAAAGTTTGGGGCCCAGAAAAATACCAGTTGGAGAAAGACATTCCCCCGGGCTGTTGAAAGGGGCCTTGCTGTGATGCTCAGCCCCAAGTGGAAGATGAGAGTGTTGGACAGTACAAAGTCCAGCATTGTCCCTTCCTTCTTATCGCTGCCTCTCCATCCTCTGGGAACACTAATGACCCCAAATGAATTTAGCGCCATTGTTTTTACTCAATAGCTGAAGGAGGAGTTGTTTCTCTTTCCCAGAAATCTTGAGGGCAGCCGTACTGGGCCCCCAAGGCTCATTGTGCCCCGTTTATGGTCTCTGTTTATGGGCTTCCTGGAGGCTCCAGCTATAAAGGAAAGAGAACTCTCTTAACCCAGTAGCTCCTCCCTCATTCCTCCTCTGTGCTGTGCTCAACTAGTTGTGGTTGTTAGGGGCTGGCTCAGAGGCACAGCAACCTACCTCTGCATGACAAAACGTAGCACTGCTGGGTCCTGCACTATCCCATTCATCCTAAAACCCAAACCATGAAGTCCATGCTGACTCACAGTGACCCTGGGGGACTCTTTTCCTTAGGGTTTCTGATAGATTATGTCTTATGGGAACAGTTTCCTCTTTCCCCGAAAGGTCAATGGATGGATTTGAACTATTGACCTTGTGAATAGTAGTCCTCTGTATAACCCACTAGGCCACCAGGGCTCACTCCCATTTTTCTTAAATCCCCTCATTGCC